TGTTACAGGAGGCACTATAGACAGCTGCAGTCCACAGGGCCATGGGCTGGAACCCGGAGTAGAGGGCGGGCCCGGGTTCCCCCCAAACCTCCCAGTTGACCTGGACTGTGGGTTCTTCCAGAGGGGAAGGTCTCTGGGCTGTTCCCCAACCCACATGGGGAATCTCTGAGGAAAAAAATCCGCCGATAAGCGCAGGACCCACCAAGATAGAGGAGGAACTTTGTCACACACTATAATAGGACCCTAATGGTGACTCATGGGTACCTTGGAGAGAGCCTGACATCTGCTTTGTGAGGTACCAAAAGGTTATCAATCTTCATGTTTCAAGGCCTAAACTAGTCACCAGCTAGAGTCTGGAAGAAATTTCTCTCCCCATGGTATAGTCTTGCCCAATTGAGCAGGTATATTATTTTTTCTCACCTTCCTCTGTAGCATTTGGCACAGCTGCTGTTGGAGACAAAACAGTGGACTTCTAATAATGGATTATCAGTCTGCTCCACCATGGCAATTCCTATGTCCTCCAATCAGTGTTGCTTCCTTATTGACTATCCAAGGATGCCATATTCTTAACGTGGCCAGAAGGCTCTTAGCTGAAAATCCTCGAGCTTCCTTTGCAAACCAAAAATACTGCTGTACTCTGGAGTAAAGGTCCCCAACTTTACTCCTTGCAGTAGGGTTGCTATGGCTTTAAATCTTTCTTTAAGACCTGTTTCTGTAGGAGGGGAGGTAACCAGCCATGAGCCAACCATGATTCTGTCAGGGGGGGAGAGGGCCAACCAGGTATGAGCCAACCAAGCCTATATTAAATCCAAGCACTGTCTCTACTGGTTGTCCACATAATCCTTTTGTTGTCTCTCTCTGTCCCCACCCTACCCCTCGCATTGTCTTCAGAACATAAGCATCCCACACTGGGTCAAACCCCCGGTCCATTTAGTCCAGCATCCTGTCTCTGACAGTGGTCAGTCCTAGTTGCTTCAGAGGAAGGTGTGAGAAAATCCTGCAGTAGACATTCTGGGACAATCTGCTGATGGGTTTCTTCCTAACCCCCTGAAGCAGGAGGGCTTGTGTTCCTCTCTCTCATCTCATGCCGTTTGGATTGTGCGCTCTTTGAGCTAGGTACCAGGAACCTGATTTCCTTCTTACTGTTAAATCTATTTCCTCTCCCCTTCCTCCCTCCCTCCCACCCAGCGTGACTCCATGGACTTCAATGGGGTAACTTCTGATTTACATCAGGGTGAGTGAGAGAAGAATCAGGCCTCATGGCTTTGAATGTCTGGGTGGTGCCTAGCACATCTGTGGGTGCTCGGTGAATGAATGAATAATAATGGCTGGGATTTTCAGAGGAGCCTAGGGGCATTAACTGCCCAAATCACTGTGAAATACAGTGGGAATTGAGTGCTGATCTCCCTTAGGAAATGCCCCCAGCAGTAGCAACACAGGGAGAGACCCCCAGCTGGTGTAAATCAGTGTGGTTCCAAAGACATGGCCCTCGATGCTAAGGGCGGCTGTTGTGGTATACGGTGGTATTTTCTTGGTGACCGTATTCCTCGAGAACTGTCCTTCCAGGCAGAAGGCTCCCTTTCTGCAGCCACGAGGGCCGCAGCGGTAATGTCTCCGCTTTCTAATTGTAGCCATCACTTGCGGTCACCCGGGCAACCCAGCCAACGGCCTGACGCAGGGCAGCCAGTTTAACCTGAACGACGTGTCCAAGTTCGTCTGCAACGTCGGGTACCACTTGGAAGGGGCATCCCAGTCACAGTGCCTGGCGAACGGCCAGTGGAGCAACGCCCTGCCCACCTGCCGCAGTAAGTCATCTTCCCCCTGGCCCTCATTCGACCACTGGGGTTGAGGCCTAGAGCGTATGAATGTGCTGGAAGGGGTAGATGGTGGCGAGAGCTATAGTCCAAGGATCAGAAATGCCTTCAGGTTTGCAGCGTAATGGGGTTGTGACAATGGAATAGCAGCAGCTCGACTTCCCCCTCTTCAAGCACTTGGGTGCATCAGAGGGGCCGCGTGGGAAATGGCGGTAGAAGAAGGGTATGTTCCATTCACGGGGCAGAGCCCAAAACAGGGGACTCCTCTTCTATTTTCATCGTGAACTTTTTGATTTCTAGTCACAAACCCTGGGCCAGATCTTCCACTGGTGTAAATCTGCCCCGCTCTGTCGCTTTCAGTGTCACGTCAGTCTGTTGACGTGGGTGGAACGCCACTAGTGGGTGGAACGCCACCAGAGGCGACTCTGGCCCAGGGAAAAACCCTTGCAGACCGGGGCTGTGTTTTGTTTTTCCTGCTCAGTCATTCCTTCAGCTGCCATGGTGCTATTAAGGTAGCAGGGGAGGGTAAGTGGGAAGCACAGAGAGGATGCGATGGGGGTTTTGCTGATGAAGGAACGGTGCAAATGCCGCACCCTGTGATCAAGATGAGTTGGACTTTGTTGCTCTCTGTGCAACGTCCTTGGTTACTCCTGGTTCCTGAAATCCAGTTAGATGCCATCATGAGTCAGCGTAAAGCAGAGTTTGCAGCTGAGTGGGAACATAAGAGTGATGTTTGAAGGCCAAACATTCCTATGTGGCATAAGCAGATACAACCCCTCCCCCGCCCCACCCCACCCCGAGTTCAGGGGCACTGCCCCTACTCACCCCAGAGCTGATCCCAATGCTGAGGCTTCATCCCCTTCCCCACCACCTTCCAATCGATTGACGTGTGAATTGCTAATAAGAACAAAACAATCACTGGGCCACATCTGCAGCTGGTCTCAATCAGGACAGGCTCCATTGAAGTCAGTGGGGATATGCCAATCCATACCAGCCGAGGATCTGACCCAGAAACACTCAGTCATGTTCCCATATGCTAACCTCTCTTCCCTCTCATTTCCAGGGCTTCCTGCCTCCTTCAGTATTAGCATTAAAGTTCACTTACCAAATTCCCTCCTCCCCTCCCCATCCCTGCACTCCGTTCCTCTATACTCCGTCAAGGCACTTATCTCTGTCCCTACTGCTGTCTGGTCAATGGCAAAGTCAGCTCTTCTCACCTGCCCGCTAACTGCCCGATCCTGCAGTGAGCCAATCAGCGAGGCTCTGTCTCTGCACGTCACGTGGCAGGATCGGGCCCAGAAGATGATCTCTTCTTTTGAATCCAATTATTTTGTTTGATTTTTTTTTTAAAGACGGAAAAAAGAAAGAACCCAAACTGCGGAATGTGTGACTTGAGATTTCTTCCCCTTTTCCTCCTTGTTTTAGAGAGTCCTTTGTTCTTTGTTACACCCTGTGTTTTGTATTTTTGTTTTCTGTTATTTGTTTGCAGTTGTAAACTGTACTGACCCCGGGCACCTGGAAAACAGCATCCGTCAAGTGCAGCCAAGTGGTCCTCACAGATTCAGCTTTGGAACAACTGTCTCATATCAATGCAGCCATGGATATTACTTATTGGGCACACATGTACTTTCCTGTCAGGGGGATGGCACTTGGGACCGGTCCCTCCCACAGTGTCTTTGTAAGTTGTTCAGAGCCTAACCCTTTTGTTTAGGGCATTGCTAAAGAAGTCATACTCAAATGATCCATTGCAGTCTTTCATCCCACAGGGTTTACATCTCTCTTTAGCTGAATGATGCCTACAAGGTTTGTTCCAAAGCCCATTGGAATCAATGTTCGTCTTCCTATCCACTTCACCGGGCTTTGGAGGGTGTCCTTAGAAGGGAAAAATGTGGTCTAGGGAGAGATTAGATTAGGTAGGGATCCTTTCACCCACCAATGAAATGCAGACACCTTTGAGTTTGGATTCCTGACCCCATTCCGCTTCAGCGACAATATTGTAGGTGGCGAAGAGAAGAGTCCAGTAGATCCCACACAGGGAATTTATAGCAAGGCAGCGTGTAATTAGCCACAGCAGATTTAGCACAGCTCGTACACATTCGAACTTCCACCCACCCACTCGCTCACATGTCTTTGGAGAAAGGCAACGTCAGTTCAGTATCAAAATAAACACCTTCATTGCTCTTACTCTTTTGCAAACTGCATGTTCCCGAGGACTCGCCTCTTGACTCTTGCTGTAGATTTTTTCCCCCTTAAAGTAACCTTAATGCTTGCTGCCTTTAAGTTAGTTACAGATGTTTATACGTAAAGGCACAGTGAAGAGAGATGGGAGATTCTGTGCCAAGGCTTGGGTTAAGGGAGCAGTCTGATTTAGGAGATGGGAGCTCTGAGCTGTGTGATTTTGAGCCAGTAGCCACACCGCTCAGAACTAATCAAAACAACCATTTGAATACACGGCAGGATGTGCAGTTTGGGCTCTAAGTACCCTGCTCTTTCTGTCTCATGAGGCATGCCTAGGGGGCAACCTAGGTAATGCACCCTGGGGTGGGTTATTGCTTATGAGTGCTTTATAGCTCACATGTGCACACACATACACTGCTGTCACCTTAAAAGTATATTAGACCCAAGAACTCTGAGCCCCAACCAAGTGTGGACCCATATAATCCCAAAGATTGGTGTTTGGAACCAGACAGGATGAGACACCATGTAAGAAAATCATTTTATAACAGTGACAAATTTTAAGTAGCACAGCATCATCAAATCCTATGTGCTTAGGTACAGTGGGCGAGAGGCAGTGTACAAACCCCATAGATAGATAGATACAAGATCTGTAATACAGTACAGGAAGTTCATACTAGTCAGGCAGCTGGGGATGCTGGACTCGTAATACCTAGCTCTTCCATAATGCTTTTCATCAATAGATCTCAAAGCACTTTACAGGAGGTCAGTATCACTCTCCCCTTCTTACAGATGGGGAAACTGAGGCACAGAAGGGCAAAGTGACTTGCCCGAGGTCACCCAGCAGCAGAACCAGGAATAGAACCCATGTCTTCTGAGTCCCCGCCCAGTACTCTAGCAACTAAGTCACACTGCACTTGGAGCCTGACTGCAGAGACCTTCCACTGATTGCAATGGGCATTGGATTAGGCCCTGAGAAAATGGCATAATTCACCATGCACCTAATGGTCCCCAACAGAAAATCCAAAGCAGCAAATGTATCATTATAACCCGGCAAAGGTGATTGCAAATTATATAGCTGCTCAGGCAGATAGAGAAAGCAGAACCTCTCTATGGATGTGCTCGCTTCCTGCACAGCTAGACATAACCTTTCAGTTAAAGTCTCCTCAGTGGATCCAGTCAATTTTCCATGAAAGCACTTAACAAGGAAGAAAGGTGATGTGGTAGGGACAGGGGGCAAGTGAGGTGAAAGGGAAACACACTAGCTCCAGATAAGCGATGGTTATTGATTTTCGTGTTTACATTCCTTCTTCAAGAATAAAATCATTAGGATTTCTTTTACTTGCAATTGGTGCATCTGCTGTTCAGAAGTTGTACCTTGCAGGACAAATAGGTCAAACCGTCAGAAATGGAGGGGGACAATCAAATCTCCTACCTAGCCGCTTAAGTGTCATTCAACTGAGCTGTTCCAAAGCCTCGATCTTTTTTTTTTAATTACTTAATTTATTTGTCCTTTTTACACCAACTCATAAAAACTAGTTTTTTGGCACATTTTCTTTTCCTTTGTTACCAGCATGCCACCATCTGACATCTACAAGCACGCTGCACAAGCCATGGGAAATTGACAAGTGATAACCACATCCTTAGAATCTACAGGCACTCAAATCAAAGAGCCAACCCGCTCATACCTGGGTACCTCAAGCAGCTAAATAAACGAGGTCTTGTGTTTTAAAAACATTGAGCACCTACAGCTTCCATTGACTTCAGGGGATTTTATGGGTGTTTTCACCACCTTTGAAAATCAGGCCAGTTTTATTTAGTAACCTGTACTCGTTACTCACTTTTTAAAATGTAGACCCAGGAACCTTGCCATCAGGTAAACCAGGTTTGAGCATTTTGGCTAGTGAGTATTTTAGAGAAAGAAAAAACCCTGTTCTGTAAGGGGCAGAAGAGGGATTCTGATACAATAAGTGAAATCTACCACAGCAAAATCTAGCACAATGGAAGAAATTTGTTCCGACTGTCTGTACAAATGCTTTACAACCCCCAATACAGTCACAGATTTTTAGCTTAGATGTGTCTGCTGGAGTATCCATTATTGAATTGTTAGTTACAGTACGAGTTTATTAGCTCTCAAACTCATTTCTTTTGAAAAAGGCCTTGGTTTTAGTCACAGCTCTCAGTGCCCACGTACTGTATATAAACATCCGCACCCTTTTCTTTTTCTTGAAGTATACATCATGCATTCCACCTACGCAGAAAGGGGAAATGCATCCATTGCTGATAATTCCCTTCAGAAATCCTAATGGCATGTGGCCCTCACATTAAGATTCTTTTAGATCAGATCATATTTAATCGCCTTTAGAGCTGTCAGCTTGTTTGTGAAGAGCCAAGCTTCATCTACCCTAATAGCTAAGCTAAATAAACCAATTAATTATTGTTAACAATGTTTTTACTAGCAATCATAGGGTGAGCGGTTCTTACAAGCTGCCAGAGTAATTTCATCAGGTGTGACATTGCATCTAATACGGCTATGTGTTGACAGAATCCCACACTGCCAAGGGATGTGTGTGTGTGTGTGTGTGTGTGTGTAAATATTCATTTTTAATAGGGGATGGATGTTCACGGGAACGTGCAAAGTGCATGCCTGGGACATCCTTGTTTGCGTGTGCATTTGGGTATTTGCATGCACAGACCTGGGACAGCCCCTGTGCAAATGTTTACATGACCAGCCCTGGTGAAATTCACCCCGGGGACCAATGCAAGGTTTGTGCACCATTGCAACTCTATTTTGAGCACTGCAGTGATGCCTGACTCTTGTGCCAGCTCCGCTGAGTAGGGAGTAAGGGTATGCAAGATTTCAATGAGCAGTTCATGCTAAGGTCACTTAGCACCAGATCCTCAACTCGTGTAAATTGGTGAGGCTCTGTTGAAGTCTTTAAACCATGATTTGAGGACTTCAGTGGTTCAGACATAGGTTAGGGGTTTGTTGCGGGAGTGGGTGGGTGAGATTCTGTGGCCTGCGTTGTGCAGGAGGTTGGACTAGACGATCATAATGGTCCCTTCTGACCTTAAAGTCTAGGACTCTATGACTCTAAGTCAATGGAGCTATACTGATTTACACCGACTGAGGGGTCTGGCCCATAACTGTTGGTTGCTCTGTGTCTGCAAATTCCACTTTGTGGGTGCAAAAGGGGAGTGTTTTGCAGCTGCACCCATTGCACCTTCCTTTTGAACGCTCGTCCCCTGCAGTTAGATAGTAACGCAAGCCATAATGTTGTTCTCTTTGTTTCAGTGGTTTCCTGTGGCCATCCCGGCTCCCCGCCCCACTCCCAGATCTCAGGCGATAGGTACACGGTAGGGTCTGTCGTCCGCTATAGCTGCCTGGGGAAGCGGAGTCTGATTGGCAACTCCACTCGTATGTGCCAGCTGGACGGGCACTGGAGTGGCTCCCTCCCTCACTGCTCAGGTGAGAAGGCCAGGAGACTTGGTCAGGGTTAGTGCGATGACCCTTTGCTTCTTCACAGTCCACCACCCTTCCACCCGGCCTCCAGCTGGAGAAGAGAAGCCACGAGGCCTCTCAGATCTATATTATTCTGAACAAAGGAGGGATCTGGATCCTGCAGGACTTGGAAAGCCCAGCTGGAGCTCAGCGGTCCAGCCTCCAGCACCTTGGACAGTGGGTGCCGATAAAGAGTAAACTTTGTCCCGTGGCACAGGATGAATAAATCATTGCAGCGAATGCTCTAAACATAACAAATAACACGGCACAGTCAATACTGCAGCCTGCTCTTTGCTATTCAGTGGTTCCTATTGTGCTTCTGTGAAGAGCATTGATTTGGGGGGAGGTTTCATCCTCACAAATTGCTCCTCACAATGTAACTTCAGATTTTCCCTTTCTCTCTCTCATGCATTCAGATAAGTCAGATGCTCCTATCTCAGGCTTCACACCTGAGCTGTTGCTCCGTGCAGCAGCGCTGTCCCGTGTACCGCACATCACTTTGGATAAGGCATAGATACATGGGATGTCCCGTATCCACGATGGGCAGGGATAGATGCACGGTAACCGATTTCCAAGTGCTCATCGCCGGCAATCAGGCCTATATATTTTAAAGTGCTTAGGTATCAAAATAAGTGATAGATTTACAAGAACCCTCAGCTCCCATCTCAACACAGGCAGATTTTTTTGAAGCTCTGGCCACCCATCTTGGTGCCTCCCTGAGAGCTGAGCTATTCTGAAACTCTGGACCAGAGTGGGGTTTCTGTTAAGCAAACATCACGTGTGATGATGAGAATCTGGAGTAGGGCGGAATCCATCCTTGTTCCAGTCTTGTTCCTCACCCACATCCAAGTCTCTTCCGTCACAAAATCAGCGGATTCCCTCCCCGATGGAACTGAAAAACTGCCCGAGCTGTGTAAAACTCCACTCCCACCCCATGCAGCCTTCCATTCCCTTGAGAGTAAGGCACGAAGGAGATGGGACTCTAGCTGGAGCAGAGGCAATAGGAGGAAGTGGTTAATTTTTAATTTTGCCACTTTAGACCTAGCAGCTCCACTTGACCAAGTTTAACCTGCACTTAAAAGGGGGGAAATATTAAGAGGCAATTTCAACCTCTCTGAAGGACGTATGTACAGAACAATTTGTGATTTGCTTGGTGTTTTATGGCCACTTGGAAAGGTTCTTCTTTAATTCATATCCATTTTTTTAAAAAGCCTTCAGCTTTAGCCCAACTCTGCTCCTGTTGAAACCAGTGGGATGGAAGGTCTGCTGGTGACTTCAGAGAATACAGAGTTAGACCAGTGCCATGTGCTTTTGAAAACCCCACCCCCTGCAACAAACTCCAAACCACTTGGGACCTGACTTCCTCCCCGCTACCCCTCCCGGCTTCCTTGCACCCTCTGTGAGTCATTTTTAGCCCTGCAAAGAGGGCGTGAAACGTGACCACTGGTACGTGTCAGCCACCGATTCTGATTTGCTACTTTTTCACACCAAACTCAACTTGTACTGGTGCAAATAAGAACCAAGGTGATGGGAAATCGGACCTTTTGTCTTGTGCTTGCGCTTTAATAATCAGCAATTCAAACATCAGTTAAGGGCCTGATTCTCCATTGTCCAGCATGCCACCTCCTGCCCCCAGCACTCCCCTACACTGAAGGCAGCATAGGGCCATCTATGCCACCCCTACACTGCTCCTGCCCTGGGGAAATTCTCCTCCGGGGCCAACCTTTGCAGCCCAGAGCGATGCATAGAGGCCAGAATCCAGTTGAGGCTGTTTCCAATGCAAAGGTTTTTGCCATGTGCAGGCAGCTCGTTAATTGCGACAGTGGCTTTAGCAAATCAGAACAAGCCGTTTTGGAATAAGTCGCCCGCAGAGGAGAACAGTGAGGCCAGAGAGAGGGATTCCCGCCACCCTTTTAAAAACAAGTGTTTTCCTGGATGACAAATGTCTTCATTATTTTTTACATCCGACACGATGCCGCAAAGCTCATTACCGTAGCAAAGCACAGAGGGCCTGGGAGCTCTAACTGTAGGAGTGAAATATTGCTCCCTGGATTGGGGCTGGTGTGTTTACAGAGATCATTAGCAGAGAGAGCTGATAACAGTCAGACTTGGCATGAGCCTGGCATGTGGGGAGACATGTTCTCAAAGAATCCCTGCAAGGCAACCTTTTCCGCTGCCTCTCTCTTCATGTCCCCCTAACTTTCCGCCAGCAGTGCTGAGCGCTAGTGATTTCTGCAAGCGGATGTTTCTCGGCTGGGTTCCTAGCGCGTCTGGGCTGCAAAGCTAACAGCTCCTTGCTCTGCAAGGATAACGGGGTTGGGGCGGGAGGCTTTGAGCATCTCATCATTTCTGCTTGGAGGGGAACCATCCGCCTGTCTGATGCTGGCAAACAAACCTCTTGCTGCCTAAGCAGCTGCTGCAGAAAGTCTCTGCATCTGTCTAGGTTTCTTTCTGGAGATTCGGGAGGCATGGGACCTCTTTTGCAAGTGCTTAAAAAGCAATGAGCTTCCCAAGACAGTAGACACATGGGTTGAAATAACCACCTGTGCAGAAGGTCAGCACAAGAGCTAAATTCGGACTTTGCTGGCTTTCCCCACCGGGTGAATTTCACCCTCCCCACTTACTACAGTGATGTGTGTGGTATAATGAAACATGCCATGCCAGCCACCACGTTTCAAGGCTCGGCTGCAACAGCCACCACGTTTCAAGGCTCGGCTGACTTGTGGGAGAGCAGATTTAGAGACACACCCCCCACATCACCAATGGGTGAGGGGAACTTGGAGCTCCCTGCCCGCTATGTAATTTTGCTGCTTGGTCCCCAAGGAAGTCACCAGGAGCAGAGGGGTGAAACTGAGGGAGAAAATTCAGGCTGGCTATAAGAGAAAAAACATAGTGGCTGTGAGATCTCTCGGGCTGTGTTTAGTCTCCCCAGGGAAGGGTGGAAAGCTTATCATTTAGGGGTATTTAGAGCAAACCCACTGGGCAGAACATTGGAAGACATCCGTCCCTGGGACGGCAGGGAGAGGGAGTGGATGGGTTAATAGGTGGTTTCCCCCCTACCAAGAGAAATTATATGGCCTGCACTGTGGAGGAGATGAGGTTTAAAGATCACAGTGGTCCCTTCCCACCTTAAAATCTATGAGGCTCCAATAACTATGGCTTCATGATCCCAGCGGATAACTAGAAGGTTAATGAAAGGATGCAGTGTCTAGACTGGCTACTCTTTGGTAGCTGCTTGTGTAGCACAAGTAACTCCTCTCTGCCGCTGAGGAGAAGATGGGCCAGGACCGACGCCTGCACTGCTGCCCCTGGCTGTTGCTGACAAAGTGTTTTTCTCCGCTCGGCAGGAGGCAGCCAGGGAACGTGTGGTGACCCAGGGATCCCTTCGCACGGCATCAGGCTGGGCAGCGAGTTTGGTGTGGACAGCGTGGTTCGGTTCAGCTGCGAACCGGGCTACACCCTCCGGGGTTCGTCGGAGAGGACCTGCCATGCCAACGGCTCCTGGAGCGGCACGCAGCCGGAGTGCGAAGGTACCGCTCCCCTGCTCGCGGGCTGTCTCTCCAGGGGAACGTGGAGTACGCCACACCCCTTATGGTGCTGTTATGTGCCCCATGTACCACAGCTCAGAGGCAAGCACCGTGGTTGCCTCATTGGTGAGGCCTTGTGAGGGCTAGTCCTGATGGGTCCCAGTAACCACTCAGACACATGGTGAAGGGCCAGGGTATTTTACTAAGCTTGTCAGGAAAGGGAAAGGTTACAAATACCCTAGGTACAGAGGCTGAAACAGTTACAGTTCAAAGTGAGCCATAGCAAGAAATGTCTGGGTCCCAGGAGCCGTCCAGTGTAGAGTCCGGACCTAGAGCCTCAGGCATCCTCTCCAGTCCAGACTCTGTTCAAGCAAATAGGAGCTTGTGGGTTTCCAGGTCAGACTCCATTACGGTGTCTCTCTGGGGCCTCTCTGCAATGGTTCCCTGCACGGTAAGGTCCCACACAGACCTGCACCCCGCTGTCCTGTACGGCATTCACAGCCTGGTCCGCACTTGGTTCTGCATCCTCTGCCTGGAGATCCCCCTTTGCATTCAGCTTCTCTGCAGCTCCCTGCCGCCAGGCAGCCGCCGCTTCCAGACAGAGCCCAGTTACTTTCTGGTGCAGGACTTTTCCCCCTCGCCTGGCCAGGCGATTGGGGATGTACAGCAGGGAGGGGGCTCCTGGGTGTTGTAGTGCCCTACTTAGTGGAGCCATCACAGCAAGATAATTAGGGCTGCCTTACACCTGGCCTTGCTGTGTAGGAGGGGCAGAAGGCGTACCAAAGCCCCCGGCTGACCTCCCCACTGCTCTAGCTGGCAAGAAACCATGAGGGGCACCTGTTTTATTAGCTTACTCCAGGGTTTCCTGCCAACCTTTGAGGGGACAGTGGTTCACACTTCTGCACCCTCCAAATACCTGCAGGTCTCATCCCCCATGTTCCACGTCCCAGTAGAAAAGGGGTGGGGGGCACATGTCTCTGTGCTGTGTCCAACCTGGATCTGCCAGGCCTCATGCAGTGGTCTCACTGGGGCCCCACGATGGCTGGGTTCATTTCAGCATCTGAGGCTGGAACAAGGAAAAGCCCTTTGGCCTGTTTTACCTTGGATGTGTCTGCTGGAGGCTGATTCTCAGCTCCGTTCAGCCCGTGTTCCCAGAGCCGGCTCCAGGCACCAGCTTGTCAAGCAGGTGCTTGGGGCGGCCGCTCCGGAGAGGGGCGGCACGTCCAGCTATTCGGCGGCAATTCAGCGGATGGTCCCTCACTCCAGCTGGGAGCGAAGGACCTTCCGCCGAATTGCCGCCGAAGATTGCGATCGCGCTTTTTAAATTTTTTTTGGCTGCTTGGGGCGGCCAAAACCCTGGAGCCGGCCCTGACGGTGTTCCCACCTCACCAGTTATTGGGTTGGGTGCAGGAATGGCTGGTGGAATTCTCTGGTCTGAGCTATCCAGGAGTCAGACTAGATGGTCATAATGGTTCCTTCTGGGCTTAGAATCTCCAAATCCGGGGCCACCAATGGATTAAATACCAGTTCGGGGGAGAAAATTCAGCAAAAAGGGAAACTTTCCTTGCCTGGAACCTTTGTGAAAGCCAGAGCTGGTGCGTGTATGAATAAGTTACATGACACAGCGGTGCATAACACAAATTAAAATCCTAATAAACATTTTTTATTTTAAAAAATCCCTTTTATGTTGTTTGAAGAAAAAGAATAAAAAACCCCTAATCCAACCTGATAAACCCCGGGCCAGCTCCTGCGAGCCACTGTGCTGCCTGTTGCTATTACAGAAGTGTTTAAAAATCAATCCGAGAAGGAACAAAAGCTCCAAACTAGGCAGGAAACCGATGAGCAAGGAGACCTGCGCAAGTCCTTCTCCTCAGCTGATTTGAAAGCGAAGAGCTCGGAGAGAGTTTAAATGAATTGGAAATGTATTCCAGATTGATGCAGCCCTTGATTGAAGACACCGCGTCACATTTATTAATTTACTGAGGCCTTCGGGCGGGAGGGGCATTATTTTTTTCTTTCCCGTTTTTTGGGGGGGGGGGTTGGTGGAGGGGATCGGCAGGGGCTGTATATATTAATACTGGGATCAATAACCCCTCGAATTCAAAAGGCACCAGGATGCAGTGGGGATATTTTAGTTTTGAATCACAGCTTTATGAATAATAGTAACATTATTCCTATAATGTGGTGGTTTAGTGTTAGGCCCTCGCCAACCGAAATAGGCAAGTCATTCTCAGTGTGGAGTCGTGCGCTGTGTCTCTGTTGTTTGTATTCACGCAAGGTGCAAACAGGGTCAGGTATCCGTGGGGCTGCACTCTGTGAGTCTTAGATTTGACTTTCTGGAGCAGGGATTTCCATCTTTTTGTTTTAATGTTGCGAGTACATTTAAGGCAGGCAGGAGTGAGGACTGACAGCACTGAGGCAGCACAAGCAGAGTTATGCAAGCTCTTCACCTGCTGTTATTTCACATCTTCTCCATCCCAACCTGCAGCACAGCCAGCCATTCAAGACCCCGCCTCCCCCTGAACCAACGCAGCTCTGCCAGAGCATCCCAGTCCTAATCCGCAGCACCTCTTCCTGTTCCAGTGCGGGGGCTCGCCACATGCAACGCTGCTGATGCCCTGACTTGCAGCCCCTCTGCCAGGCCAGTCGGACTCCCCAGGGCCCCTCCCCCGGCTACTCCAGACCTGTCTCTACTGAGCAGACTCTCAGTTGTGCCAAATGGTGCCGGGGAAGGCATGGTGTTTGGGACATAGGCTGATCGGAGACCTAGGCCACTGGCTCACTGGTGCTTCAGCTCTAAGTCAGGCTTTGAACCCAGGGTTTGAGAACTGAGCCCACAATGCTGACTCTGCTTCCCAGCCACGGCCACTGTTACAGCCACGTGCACGGTCATTTTTGTCCCACGCTGCACGGGGATGGGGTTTTCACCAGCAGCGCTCGTTATGGCTGGCCCCAGGCATGTGCATTTTGGTAGAGGTGGAAAGCAGGTGGCAAAGTCCTTTCTCGCATCCCCGTGTACCCCCACAGGGGCAGCCAGTGCAGCTGGCAGCAATTATCTCCCCAGACAGGCATGTTTGGGCAGGATGGGGGCCAAACCCTGGCCCCAACCCACTATCCACCAGGTTGCACTTGGGGGAAGAGCACAGGCAAGTGAAACAAAACTTGTTCTTTGCTCTGTTTCCGTCAGTGTCCCTGAAGCCAGCAGGCCATATCCAGGCATGGTGCCTGCCTCCATCACTGAAGGTGCTGTCCCCAGCTCAATTCCTCCCCCCCCCCCGCCAAATCTCTTTGGACCCTAATCAGCTGTATGAGTTTTTAGCTAAGGATATACATGTAGTGGGTAAGGCCAAAGCTTTCAATGCCTAATAGGGCGTGAATCCATATTTAAGCAAAAGTACTATACTGAACAGAAGCTACAGGTGCTCAACTCCTCTGCAAGTCAGGCCTCTTATTTAGGTGCTTGACTTTAGTCACCAAGGACCTGATTTGGCAATACACATCCTTAACGTAGAGCATGTGCTTAAGACCTATTGGCGTCGATGGGACATAAACACAGACTTCCCTGCTTTACAGAAATGGGGTGGGCTTAAATGCCTGCTTCCGTCCCTCTGATGTGCCTTAAAGCTAAGTGTGTGCTTAACTACTTTGCTGCATCGAAGCCCAAACGTTGACATCTGTGGCCCGCATACTCTACATGTCACTAGCTGATTGGTCTGCTTTAGAAACCACACACAGCGCCGGGCTTTTTTAGCTTCTGCAGAATGTGATAATGGTGTCTCAGTAGTAACCACGTTCCCAGACTAATGAAATCCTATTGAAAAGCTTGTTCTGACCCAGCCGCTCCTACGTCTGTAGGTAATTGCAACTTCATCAAAGGCATAACTCTTGGATCGGGTTCAGCCGACCCGCCGTAAATAAGCCCAGGTCCAAGAAGAACTCCCAGAGCCAGGAGTCATCTATATATTTTTGGACGGGAGGAGGGAGAATACCCCAGCACCCAAGTTCCATATTCCCCGACTCGTTAAAACCTGGTGATTAGAGGTCTCCAAGGCGTGATCTGAATCAGAGTGATTAATATGTTCCATAGCCCTAAATTGGGGCTAATCATATTTAAAAACCTGCTAAATTGCATCTCCCCTTCCATATTTCTGAATTAGCCCATTTGAATGTATGGACCTCTCCATGGGAGCCCCATTCAGCGTTGGCGTGGCAGAGCTCCAGCATGCCAACGCAGCCGTTCAGCGCCTCTGTAGGGCATTGTCTGTCTCTGACTCACACCTCATGCTCGGCGGCTAGGAACAGAAAACATAATCAAGTCAGGAGGAGCCTGCAGGGCCTCAGTTCGACCCTGCCCAGCGAGTGAAAATCGTTCCCTTCTGTTAGCCGCGGTGCAAAATGGGCGTGGAGGAACTCTGTCTGTTCTTGAGTAGACCAAGGTCTGCAGCACAAAAAAAGCACTGTTGATTAATTGCCACCCTTGTTAATGTTGCCAGAGAGGCTGAGAAATGAAAGGGGACAAGAGATCAAGCGGCCATCTTGCCCCCTGCAAAGCAAGGGTGCGCCAGCTCACTGCAGGCGCTGCGCTGGGCAGAATCATCTGTTGTCCCTGCCCGGTGATGTGGGTGCAAGTTGTTTATAGTCCCTAGAGGCCCCGGCTGGGATCAGGACCCCATTGTACCAGGTGCTGTACGGACACGTAAGACAAGTCCATCCCTACACTACAGGTCTTACCGTCTAAATAGACCGGGCGGGGAAAAAGCAGGAAAACTGCAGCAGAAAGAGGTGATATCCCAGTCCAACAAAGCAGCTGAGCACAGGGTTCACTCTGAAGACCACGGAATTTAAGTATGTGCTTAACTTAAAATAAGTGTTTTGCTGAATCAGGACCAAAGTGACTCACCCAAGGTCACGGAGAAGGGGTGTGGCAGAGGCAGGAACCGAATCCAGATCTTCTGAGTGCCCAGCTGGGTAAGGAAAGGGGCTTTATTACCTTGAGCTGTCAG